CCCCCGGCCCACCCGCTCGGGTCCCGCGCGTTCTTCCAGCCTCCCTCGCCGCTTTGCGCACAGGTACTGCTGCCCCTTCCTCACCCCCAGCCGCTGCAACGGGCAGGATGGTCTCTGCTTCTCGGGCCCGGGTCCTGGGGACGAAGCTTGGGAAGAGCGCTCTTGGTCAGCAGTCCAAAATGCCCGGGTGCCCGCAGGAAAGGAACCTAGGTCGATAACACTTCATTCCTTTACTTCGCGCCCAGAATAGGGCCTGGCAAATAATAGGCGCCCAGGAAGCGTTTACTGAATGAATGTTGAGCTTCTGTAAGCAAGGTCTTTGGGTCTCTGAAAGTTGGGGCAAGGACAGGGCTTTGGAAGAGAAAGACCTGGTAGTAAGCCATCAGAGGAGGGAGGGAGCGAGGACTGTTTCCCATCTATTGACGGCTTTGTCGTCATCACCCTGGCATCAGGACACGTCGCTATTAAAATGACTCCAATGTATTTTTATGGAGGGCCTGTCAGCCCCTGACCGCAGAGCCTCCAGGGCCTACTTTGGGCCCTATTTTGAGGTCTCTGTGACTGTCCTCTGGAAAGAAGTAGCTAAGTAAGCACAGGCAATCCTTCTAGTTTTGGGGGGGCTTTGGATCTAGCTCAGGTTCTTAGCCCTTTGAAGGTTATGGGCCCTTTTGAGAATCTGGCAAAAACTATTGAATCCTTTCTTTAGGAAAATACACACACATTTATGCACACACACACCCCTGGAGTATAATTTCAGGATCATTAGGGACCCCGAGTCTGTCTTAGAACTCTCTCTGCCTGATGTAAACCTGTTTCTCTATGGGGTCGAAGGCAGTAGTTTATAATTGCCCTTCTTTGGGGGATCCCAGAACCCTTTTGAGCCATTCAAGAATCTGATTAATGTTATGAGTCTGCTTCTCAGGGAGAAAAAAAAATGCTCAATCATACATGTTGTCATATAATTCTCAGGGGTTTATGGATCCTTTAAAGCTTAACCCAGGGTCCCCAGATGAAACCTCGCAGCAGACAGACTCGGCACTAAGGGCTCCCTCCATGAAGAGTTTGGAGGCCCTGCACCTGCTGCATCCTGCCCCACCCTGCCTGAGGGCACCTGAGTCCTGTGGTGATGGCCCTGGCACCTGAGAGACCATCTCCACACTTGCCTCTGCATCTTGGTCCCCACCACCCTCTTTGTGTGAAAATAAGTTGCAGGTTGTCATGTTCTGTCTGATCGGTGAGCGTTCCGTACCCAGAAACTCCAACTCAGGGTGACAGCGAGTGACTGGTAATTAACCAGCTTCACTCAGTCCCAAGCATCTGAGCACACCTTTCCTGGTTTTTGTTCTCACCTTTCTTTCTGGGGGCGAAGCTGTGAGCAGCAGCCCCAGCTGTGGAGCCTCGCCTCACCTAAGCCTGACTGATTTCGTAACCAGCCCGGTAATGGTCGGTATTAGCCATCCAGATGTGAATAGGCCCTCTGCACAAAACAGCTTTGTAATGATCTCCCGCTTGCCTGCAGCTAGCCAGGGAAGGGTGCAACAGGCCAGAGGTGCTGGGGAAGGACAGAGAAGTGCTGGGAATGACAGAGACATTCTCTCCTCGAAGTTCTCCCGGAAATGGAATCTGGTTTTTGCACTTGAAATTGTGAGGGTTAAGCCAGGCTGTCCTGGTCCTATAATTTCTAATTTCTCTACTGTCCTCCACACCCACGTGCTCAGCTCATGTCTGTCCACTCGAAGCTCCAGCCCTGCCCTGCCCATCTCATGGAAGAGGTCTTACCCTCACAATTGCACAGACACACCCTGCTTGCTCAGGGCACATGAACACTCTATAGACTGAATTGTGTCTCCCTCCTCCAGATTTATATGTTGAAGCCTTAACTCCAATGTGACTGTATGTATTTATTTATTTTTGCTTCCTAAAGCTTTATTGTTTCGTTTGGTCCAATGCATGGGAGAGGGTGGTTAAAAGAATGGCTAGCAGTTTTGGGGAGAGGCTCAAGTAAAAGCCAGACACCAAGGGAGGTAGAGGGGCCTCTCAAAGGCCTCTGTGCTCCAGGCTCCTAGCTGGAGGGTGAGCCTTTCCAAGGATACTCGTCCAGCCCAGCCTGGGGGCCGGCAGCCTGCAGAGGTGAATCAGGTGTCGCCCATCTTCTTGATGAGTTTCACCTCCTCACCTGGAAGTGTTTCTCCAGGAAGTCACAGAGCTGAGGGTCTGTGGGAAGAACCCAGGGCCTGCAGCTCCCACAGGGGCCTGGTCAGGTTCCTCTCCAAGGCCCTGGTGGCTTCCATGACGTCCTGAGTTTTGCCCACTCATCTTGGGGAGACTTCAGCACGTCCTGGAGAGAATGTGGCCACCATGTTGGTTTTGCAACTTTAAGAGCCGCTCAGCGCCCTAGCGTTTCTTCTCCACCAACTCAGGCAAGGAGTGGCCTGCGCCCTCGAGAGCTACATCGTTGTGGTTGAAATAGAAGCCGAGACAGAGGTAGGTGTAGGGGGCCCGCAGCCTCTACCTCGGTGGAATAATTCTGATGGATTTGGGAGCTGATAGTTGTTCGCAATAAGGAGTTATGGTAGAAAACACAACAATAGTTTGTTGGCTGGTCCGAAGGTGGTTCTGAAGTTGGTGACTGGAGAAGATACAGGAGAGTGTGTCTGTTCTGTCCAAACACGGTTGAAGCAAGAGGCAGACCGGGACTGCGGAGGGCACTGTCCCAATGTGACTGTATTTAGAGAGAGAGCCTTTACGGAGTCAATGAAGTTTAAATGAGGTCAAGAGGGTAGGACCCTAATCCTCCGGATTCGTAGCCTCATAAGAAAAGAAAGAAACACTAGGAATCTCCCTCTGTCTGTGCGCACAAGAAGAAAAGGCATGTGAGGACACGGAGAGGTGGTGTTTTGTTATGGCAGCCCCAGGGGGAAGATACGCATTTCCCACACACTCCTCACCCAGCCAGCGTGTTCAGTCTCCTCCCGATACTTTGACTCCAGCCTTTTTCACGCCCGTGAAGTCAGACCTTATTGATTCTGGCACACTCTCCTAAAATGTGTTTTTCATCTTTTGATACCCAAACTAAGTCTCAGCTCTCCTGCCACTTTCCAAAACTGCTCTAGCCAGAGAGCTTCGCCACCTCAGCTCTCCGGCAGGTGTGCCACATGCCAGCATATCATGGATATTATTCTATTTTCTCCCTAATTGTGTCTTACACATAAAACTTGGCCTTCCTGTCAGAATGAAAGCCCCTTTAAGTCCAGAGTTTATAGCTTATACAGTGGCAACCTTATAGAACCCAGCATGAAACAGGGGGAACACACAGTTAAACAAATGTTCTCCTCAAAAAAAAAAAAATTCTAAAAAGGTTACGTATCCACTTCATGTTCTAAAAGCTTAAGTCATTCTGTGTGTGCCATTCTGTTCATCCTCGAAAGCCTGTTGGAGGGGGGGGCCCCGGAACTAGTTCTCCTATAATCCAGGCCAGAGGGGCATCACAATTGCGGAGTCACACAAAGTCTCCACATCAGAAGCCACGCTACCCTTGGTTCCCGCTTGGCTATCTTCTCTCTCCAGATGGAAAGGGAAGGGTGGGGAAGCTCGGATCTTTGAGATACTTCTGTTCCAACAGATCAGTTGCAAAAGAAAAGTTGGTACAGCCCCTCCAGGCTTGAAGCCAGAGGTGTTTGAGAATTTGGAAGGTGCCATATATTCTGAAACATCCCCTGCAAGGTTTTGGGCAGTATCTCATAATCAGCCACGTTACTATTTCTGCAGTAAAATATATGGATGTTCACACTACGTGGCTCGAGTACCTTCACATCAGTTTAGGTCTGGTGTTGGTTGCCAGGTGAGTTTGGGCACTACACTTGTAAAAAAAAAAAAACCGAACCAACGAAAAAGCCTCAAACTCCACCTTCTGGTTTTCAGAGATTTGGGAATTTGAGAATTACGGAGAAGGGACTGGGGAATGGCATTTTAGGCTTGGTTGTCCCTAAAGAAATGGCTGTTTTGTGAGGGTGTGGAAAAGCAGCAGTAGTAACAAATGAGAAGCCATAAACTGTGAACGAAGTAGGGAGTTTACGGGGGTACGAGCAAATCACTGTTCTCTAGCCAAGTTGCATTGGATTGTAGTCGTTTTTTTTTCTTTCTAAGGAGCACATGTGTGTCACATGGCTGTGAGTTTCAGGTGCCCTTGTGTTAACAGTGGCTTCGAAGTGGCAGACATAAGGAGCGGACTTCTGAGGGAGAGCAGGTGGGGGTGAAGACGACAGAAGCTCCTGCAGGGAAGCCACAAGCCATGGTGGACTTCCCTGTGGTGAGAAGGAGTTCAGAAAAGCTTGAATGCGGAGCACTTGCTACAGGTGAACTTCTCCGGGTAGAGGGAGGGCCGGCCGGAGAAAGGAGGCTACGCAGAGGAGGATGTGATGGAATCCGAGAAAAGCCTGGTTGGAAAAGTCGGCACTTCTTGGGGCTGGGAGTCTGGGGCGGCCATGCAAGTGGATGTCTTCTCATTGTGTTCATCTGTGTCTAGAGGGCTTGGGTGCTTTGAGGTTCTCCCACACTGGATGGGGTGGCTTTGATAGGAAGGAGGAGGACAGTGAAAGGAAAGCCACAGTGAACCCCTAACTATTTGGCTCTCTCTGCCTGCTTATGGTGCTCGGTCAGCAAGACTCTCCACGGTCAGGGGGCTCCCTGGGGTCCAAGGTCAACAGCAGGGAACCTTCACTTGAATCTGAAGGCTCGCCCTGTTGCTGGCTTCGGTCCTGCTTTGCTTTGTTCCAAAGTCCTAGTACATGCTCTTACCTTCCTCTTCTGACAGAATGCTCTGTCTGGTACCCCCAGTTCTGGGTGTCTGTATCATTTTCCTATCCTGCTACCCTCTAGGATCCAGGCGCTTGAGGACTAAGAGTCTGGGGTCCAGATATTCTACTTCCCTCCCCGTGGCTGAGTCTTCTACCACCTGCTGCCTCACATTCCTGATATCAACTGTCTTCTTGAGCCTCTGCCAGCTGCCTCATGCCAGCTTCCTTTGACATGCCCCCAGCCTGGCCTCCCTTCCTACCACTTGCAGCTGCCAGGACCTCCCCAGATCTTGGCCCTGCTTGGTGGATAGGTCTTGATCCAGGTTCCAGCCCCTCGTGGTCTGGCATATCCAGCTACCAGCCCAGCCAGGTTTCTGACAGCCATGGGCTCACAGTCATGGCTTAAAGAAGAAGAAGGGAAAAACCCTGTAGTGGAGGGGGGTGGGGAGTGGTAGCCAGCATGAGGCAGAAGCTGGCATAAGGCAGTTGCAGCAAATGTCAGGGAGCTCCTGGTCTAGGGGTGCCTTGGCCAGTTTCAACCTAAGGGGAGAGAGGGGAAAGGGTGAAAAGTGAGCAGGAGAGGAAGTGAACAGGAAGAAGTAAATAGAGGGAAAGAATCAG